GTCGTCGATTATCTGAGCTGGATCGAAACACACGAAGACAGAAACTGCAATCCCTTCCGCCAAGAATTCTGCTCAGTCGTCAGCCTTCATCCATGTTGAGTGCCCCAATCAACGCTGTGCCAACAAACGTCCTCTTACGATGCCGAGCATGAGCAACTTCCTCTTCTCTAGAGCCTCCTCAGGCCTACGTAGAATCGTAACATAACGCAATAATTCTCGTGCTTCCTCCCAGTAAACCTCCTCGTCCTCCATGCTTGGAGCGACTAGTCATGACTAACGCCGAGCTCCCCGAGCTCACTACTATCAAGATCTCCACAGAAATCAAGGCCGGCTGGAGCAAAGAAGTCTGTCATCAGATCTTGATCAAATGTAGCTAACCACAAGAAGGCCACGACACCAAAGAAGGAAACTACATCGAAGAAAGTCTCCACCGATCTGAGTATTCAGTTGACGTGCACAGTGAGTTCTTCGAGTAAAATTGTCGAAACAGAAATACACAAAGAGTCGAGCCAAACTCACTCCCAAAGGAGACATAGAGTCGAAGCTAGCGGGACTGACATATCCCTACGCAAAAGGCTCAACTCGAAGAACTGACAGTTCTTCGAGCTCGCCTCGAATATATCCCTGGAAGGTGTCGACTCCATCCAACGTTCCCCGCCCGTCTGCCGCGGCCCAACGTTAGCCGACTCCCAACGTTCCCCGACTCCCACTCGAACTCAACGTGTCTCCACTCAAATCGACCCAACGTCTCGAGCCATGACATCTATTTGGTGAAGATATCTTTACATATCAAAATTTGGAAAGGTACAATGCTTTGATTGTGAAACGTAGAATGTTTTCAACATGTTAGGCTTCATGTTACTTAAAGATTAATACACGCTGATAGATTTGACGACTTGAACACCATATTGCATCTTGTAACCTTGCGAGGCAAAGTGTAAACGTTTATGTGGCTTGATATAATATCAGTACATTACTGCACATTTGCAACTTCTAAGTATATACGATATAAAAAAATAACTCACACCTATTTAGGTATACAAATTGGATCTAATGATTTCGCTCATATTATCTGAATGTTATATACACAGAATGTATCTTGCACATAAATGACCTCTATTAGGGCATCCAGAGAATAAACAATAATAAAATGTAATCTAATGATGCTCGTCTATCCACTTATCTCTTCTGTAAATTTGTTCCTAAACCTATATTGTCATCGTGCTTTAAGTTCTTGAATAGGTGGATAATGGACTTCTTTGATAACATCATCATAGCAGACATCTTTGAATTTTGAAAAAATATTGGAAATCTTTGCCATTTTACTATAATGTGGAAGTATAGTCATTATCAAGACAGAAACCGTTGTTTTAGCAGTTTTTCCTAGCAGTTCACTCCTGTCGCATTTGCTATCTTTTGACATTTTTGATTGCAGACAGATTGGTACATGCAATGTATGCACGGAATGTCAATAAAAGACTGAATGCTTAGAATGTACTTTCACTTCATACAAAATGCGCTTTGAGATTGAGGTTCAAACATAATTTATTCGTATCAAGTATGAGTTTATCTAGCAAAAAAAATAATAGAAACAATTAAAACTTTCGTATACTTGGCTATACTCTATATAACCAGATTGTCAAAATTCTAGATTTCTTGTCTTAGTTTAAAGAAGTCTAGCTCTTCATACATATTTGTCTACCACTAAGCCAAATTTCTGAGATGTATAGATTTATGGTAGAATTCTTTCATCCAAGACTTCCATGATCTACCTGTCTGAAGTTCTTGTCGGTAGAAGCAAGAATATGAAAAGTCAATTGTCCAAAGGACATTGTATTACATATATACAGGAAAAAAGTGTAAAAAATTTGAGCTACAGTATATTCTACCATAGCAAGTATTAACCTGCAATACAATTAAATATTCATCCTCAAATCCAACTTCTACTCCTAGAATATATAAGCCATTTATTGAGCTCATACATGTTTTGAAAGTTTGACATTAAAATTAATGCTATGAAAAGATAGACATTAAGATTTGGATATCTTTACTCCCTAGTCTACAATATGAAACTTAATAGTTGAGAGTTAAAACATATGTCCCAAAAGATCCACAAGAGACTCAATCATATACTAGAGAGATAAACATACAACAAGACATAATCCATTAACTACAACCCTTGTTAAACACAATTTGGATAATGTGAAGTGAAAATTTAGATCAATATGTTGCTACGATAAAACACATATAACATCTTAAATTTCTACTCAAATGAACTAACAAAACAGTGAAAATGAATATTTTGGAATAATTTTTGAATGAGTAATATTGCTAAGCCTTTAATTTAAAAATTATGTAGATAAAACAAAAAATCAACATTTTTACATTTGATATTATTGAAAATATACTTGGAAGATTTCCAATAAAAGCTTAAAATATCATGTGATAAATATTACGACTTATAATTTTACATATTAAACTTTTGACTAGTAACATAACCATGTTTATTATATTATGTTAAAGATTTTTGATTTTACAATCAAGAGTAGTAATATGATAGAGCTATTAATAGATTGTTGATGTGTAAACTATAGCTTCATATTCATGAGCCTAGCCTAACTAATATGTGAAAAGATAAACATCCTAGTTGAATTCTTTCAAACAATGTTCAAGTCAAGATTATAAGTATGATGAAGCTCAAAAATTTCAAAACCAAAACTAAACACATAGATTTGTAACCACTTTAATCATATTTAGCTTCATGTTGCTAATATACAATTGTGACTTCCGTATTGACTTTCATTCAAGTTTACTTAATAATGCTTTGTGAAAGTTTATCATGGTTCTAGAAAGTAAAGATTTTCAACTTATCCGTGTTCCAAACATATTTTCATACAAAAATCCATTATTCATTCAATTACAAACACTCATGGATATTTCAAAAATGATGATATAACTTAAATCTATATTGACGAAACAAATCGTCACACCATGACTAATTTAGTCAATATAGATTTAATTAGATATCTTCAATTAGATAACTAATTTAGAATAATTTTCATTGCTTGTCGATATATCATTGGCTTACCTAAACTTTCTAGAAGTTTTTTATATATAGGTTAAAATAATGACATGTCATTTAAGAATTTCAAATATCTAAAACCTCAAGTTATCACTTATTCAACTTTAGGTTTAGTTTAACCAATGAGCTTTTCATTTTTTAGTAAGACCAATCAAAACTAACATGTAGTCAAAGTATTTTCCGATTGGAATCTAGACTTTCAGAGAACACAAAACAATAATGTTCATTCGAATTTCTTTTAGGATTATTTTAATTATTTTGCCAAATATATACATCATAAGTAAATTAAATCATAACTAGCTAAATTTAATCATAACAAAAATAATCATGATCAATTCATTGTCCAATTCTAATACTACTTCATTCATAATACAAACGGTTTTACAAGACATTATACATACTATTCAGTCATATTACTTCTTATAACTATTTATTCTATTCAAATATGAAGGAATTTCATTTCAAATCTTTTGTGATTTTTGACATGATTTGTCATTATACAATGATATAAACATTAACATATTTTAAAAAATAGAATTCTGTTATTTTAATTATGTTAACAGTTTTTTTCTATTTTGGGTATGAGTTTTTTTCATGAGATCCAATAATCTAAATAATTGATTTATTTTTAAAATATGTTTATCTTAAATTTCAATTTTGAAAAAATTAAATCTAATTACTTTACATGCAAAAAAATGCAGAATTAAATGTATAAATTGGAAAATAAATTTGATTTTTGTACCAAACATATAAAAATTATCTTATTGCCACAAGGATTAGTTCATAGTTTTCTTGACTGATATTATACAATTAAAATTTTTTAATTCAAAATTATAGAAATAAAAAAAAATAAATATTTTAAAATTTTGAGACCTTTTGTACATAATTTGATTTCACGATGGGATTGATATTTTGTTATTGCTTATAGCTTGTAAATTGCAATTTTGAGTCTCGTTTAATTCTATTGACATTTAATAATTTTCAGTAATTTAGTTCATGAATTTCTAGTAAATTCGTTTCATTTGAACTTGAATTAATGTTATTTACAAATTTTTTATTCTTTTTTCTTTTTCTTTCACCTTTCTTTTCTTTGTTTTACATCACAATGTTGAATAGTTTTTTTTAAAGTTATAAATGAATGAATTTGGAAAATAATATATCAATATGATTATAATACAAAAGAATCGAAAAAAAATTCAAGAAATATAAAAAATTTCAATTCAAATTTTTATGAACTCATATAAATTTTTTAAATCTTCTTTGGATTTAAACTCATCTTTGAATAAACCGCTAATTTCTTTTAAGGATTGTAAAGCATCTCAATATATGATTCAATACACATAATTAGATATAAAAATTTCAATGTCATCTTAGAACGAAACTATATTTCAACTTATAATTATGAATCTTAATTATTTAAACAAAGATATAATAATCTATAAAAATTAATCCTTACATGAGACAACTTACTTTAGGAAGAATTTTGTTAAAGTTTATTTGATAATATAGAAAAATGCAATCTATAAATCTATAGCAATGCAAGATTCAGAAAACTGAATCTTGCATTTTTAATACTATCTACTTAAATCATCGAGTGTAATTTCTTAATATCCCAAATTTCACCTTCAAAGAATATGGGAAATTTTAAATGTAAAAACCATTTGATATAAATGATATATTTGACTTCACTTTATCTTCAGACATAATACATATATTAGTTTAAAAAAATAAAATTCTTTTCATTTGAGTTGATGCAGATGTACACATTATAAAAATTTAATGATGTAATATGTTATATGATGCAAATTTGTACGATGTAGTTGTATATTTTCACGATTAAACACTTTTTTGACCATATCATCACTTTCATATCATAACATTTGATGAGATCTTCAATTTATTTTTCTAAAACATAATCAAAAGAGATAATTTTATTACAAAATATAAAGTAATAACTTTGATGTCCTCTTAATAAGTACTCTGCTCGTTTGGAAACGCAGAATTTGATGACTTTTTGCTGCGTATTTTGCCCATAATTCGTTTGATGTGTAACTATGCGCACTTGAAACTGATGTTATGAATAGTAAATAAACCTTCGTACATGAATGAGGATATTCATAATTACAGTACATCATTGATCGCTATTTATTCACATCTAAATATAAGATACAATTTATCTATGATATGTGGCTTTTCACTTCATTGTTCAATTAAATAATCTAACTCCAAATCGTCTTCATCGAGCGAGATATCAGCTAGAGGTTCATTCCCTGCAAAATATGGTTACAATCAAACAGAAATTTAGTAGTGTTCTAATCATCAGGAGTGATCTTTTACTTTGTGTACAGATTTTCCACAACATTGCATGCTGAAGCATTTCAATTCGTGATCTTGCATCATTCAGAATCTAACACTGACCATTTAATGAAAATGCTTGCAAAAGAAGAAACACCTTATTTGCAGGTGTGACTAAGTCAAGGTTTGAATCAAGGAGGGGTTTACATTCGTGATTTTCGTCTGAGGCATAATTTAAAATCTCATCCATCCAGCTGAAACTGCTGCTGCCTGCAATTTCGTAATAAGTGTTAGTCATATGATGCGATTTCACAAATCCTAGAACATATGAATTATCGAGAATATTGTCATCATCATCAGCATCCGTTTTTCAATACTATCGAACATTATATACCTGAATTTAAATCTAACAGCAGATCATTGTATCTCAGTTGTAGTCCAAATGAAAACTTGATGATATTACCTTCATCTTGCGACAGGCTATTATAGATATCCAGATCTGTAGTTACATTCGTGGCCATAGCGGTGGAATCTTCCAGTGCTTTTAAGACGCATCCATCGTCGTGTACAGGAAGTGGAGTGCTGAAGAACATAGACGACAATTAAGAGAGTACGAGAACAAGTACGAAATACAGAAACGAAGAAGTAACATGAAGTGACAAATTTATATTGTATCTCAAGGATGAAGGCAAGTCTGCAGGCAGAGGTAACCTTTTGTCATGATAGACATACAAAGTCCATAGATCCTCCTCTGCAATGAATCCACACTTCACCTCTGATCCTTCTGGATTCTGTTACATGCAATTTTACATTGTAATAGTGGCAATGTGTTACCTCCATCTTGAAATTTCAGACACTACCTTCTGCAAGCTATATTTCATCGAGGAAAATTATTCAAAGCACTCCATTTAAATCTTAGACTATACATATATGATATAAGTATGACGATGGATGCAGTATTTGCAAGTTCAAGCTCTTGATAATCTAGGAGTGAGGGTAATTTGAAATTAACCTCTATAAGAAAAAACGGTAATGTTATGTATTTTTCTGGCATTTGACCAGAAGAAAAATATGTGATCTGATTGCGATCGACCAAATTCTCCAGTCTTGATTTCTGTAAATAAGGATTCATCCGATAAAAGAGGATATGAGACTTTTTTTTAACGTAATAAAAAACCTTCAAACTTGCTATCCTCAACATGTTCTTCACTAATGGTGTGGTCAACATGTCAATAACAAACACATCAGACCTTGTGACGAAGGAAATTTGACTTGTGAGGCCTCTAATATGGAGTGTTTGTACATATCAGACACATATACCCGACCAGGTTCTATTTCAGAAGCAAGGCTGTTTGCTACCTTTGTTTCGAGCTCTTGCAAGTAGGCTCTTTTCATCTCCAAGCTCTTCTTCAGGTCCAATAGCTTTTTTCTTTTCATCTATTAGTCGTTCAACGTTGCACATGCATGTAGATATTCAGCATCTTAAATGATTATGACTATATGGAGGGATTCATAGAAGCTATATAATGGTAGAAATCTCTTCGAAGTGCCATTGTATAAATGAAAGAGCTGAATCACAAGTTTATAGCAATCAAACCTCCACTGTCTCAGTGGCTTCGCCATTCCTTTGACCCAGCCATTTAACATCTTGTTTTTTCTTGCATATTATTCCTATAGCATTGAGAACATTTAGCGTATCGTAAACCCGCCTCCTGATATTTTTACTGAGGACAGATAGCTGCAACACATAAGAGTTAGAACAGAATGTGGTACATGAATGTAACGGAAGGTGAGAACCTTAGAAAGTACTGCAGCGAACAAATTTTACTTTGATCGCCTAAGCCTTACGTACCTTGTGAGGAAAACGCTGATCTTCAGAAGCAATGAGGTCAGCTACAACCTCGTCTGCCACCTGTGATGATTAACATTTAAAGTGTGACATAATCAGTTAAATTATATCAGTATTGAGAAAATTTGTTTTCTGCTTAAATAATGGTTTTTGAAAACATTATATAAAAAACACTGTTTCTTGAAAGAAACTGATTGAACTCTCAGCACATATAATGCTGGTTGTAATGATTATGTACTTATTTGAGGAGGAAACAATATAGCTGGCATAACAATTTACCTCATCATAAGTCGTTTGTCCGCTTGTTTCCAACTTTTTGGTCACTGAAAAGCGTGATACCAGTCAAATCGAGAGAGGCAAATGCTTGCTGTAAGTACATCGATATTGCTGGCAACGGCATCTAATGCTAACATCAGATTCGGTGCAGAACAATACCTAAGACTTAATTTCGGAAAAATATATTAAGTTGCTGATATTAGTTCACGCTGGGCTCACCTGACAGACTGATATGTCGAAGACCTCGGGTTCTATCTTGTTTCACTTTCGATTTTACACCTCCAAGTTTCCCATTTATTTCTGGAGGAACTTTGTCAAGTTTCCTTCTGGTTCGTTTCTTTGTAACCGTTTGACTTTAGATGAAATACACATTCAACTGATCAGAACCATGGTTCAGACATCTCACAAATTTTATTGAACACTTCCGCTGTTGAAAACAATTTGAGGTAACTTACATGGTCTCTGAATGCTCGGGTTCTGGAAGTAGAATCTCTTCAAGAGATTCTTCTTTCTCTGATCCCATGCTTTGCTCGGGTTCAGAAAGTAAAATGCCTTCAAAAGATATTTCTTCTTCTGATTCTATGATTTTTTGGGTTTCAGGAAATCCAATATCTCCGAGGAAGTATTTTTCTATCGATTCCATACTTTCATGGCTTTCAGGAAGTACAATATCTTCAAGGAAAATGTCATCTGCTGACTCCATGCCGTAAACTGATGAAGGAATCCTCTCGCTGTCAGTGAAGAACGTCGAATATGTCGCTAAGTTCATCGGTGTGGACTGAAAGTCATCTTCCATACCCATCGAGTTTGGAGATATGAATTCGCTGCTTTCTTTGTCTAAAATGACAATTGAAATCACGTAAATATTTGACTTATAATTTGTCATATCCGACTCAATGATGCAACTAGTCAATGATCTAATTCCTCCTTTTACTTCAAAAAATGGTAAGGGTTCTCTTCATGTGAATGTAGTCAAAGAGTGCTGAAAACTGATGTTTTCAACACTCCTTGACTTTTCTCTGCACCGATAGATACATTTGTTTGCTTGTAATGCTCTCGTTCATCAGCAGAAATCTTTTCAGTTCAGACATGATTCTACTGGTATGCCCATGTAATGAAAGTTACATATTTACGTGAGGAGAATGTCAAACGGGTGAATTGTGTTCACTGTATCTTATCATCAGTGTTTTATGTGGAGATGCTTCAGACGGAAAGAAAACAACAGACGGAACATTATTTCTTATGATGAATACTCTCTCTAGACCTTGTAGCTGTGCCGCATAAAATGGATACTGATATCCAATATACGATCGACGTGTGATTCACCTAATACTTGCAGACTGAACTCAAATTCTGATTCGATACTATCATTATCAATCTCTTCCGAAAAGGTTGATAATTGATTTTCATATATAGGAGAATTTAAGAAATAATGATTTTATATCAATCATTATTATAATGATTTACTGATGCAAAACTTTGTATTAATGAAACTCTACTTTCTGACTGTTATATTTGCCTATAGATGATTTGAAACGTGAGGAAAGCTGGCATCGATAAGTCTTACCTGTCAGCGAGTTTGACTGAAGAAGTTCGTTGATTGGAGATATCATACCATCCTGGTCTTCGTAAAATTTATGGAAATAACGACCGCCCAGAAAGTCAGATTCACCGCCCAAATTGTAGAAACTGTCATCTGACGCGTTTTGGAACAAGTTGCCTTCTTGATCGCTTTCCCCGAAATTAATTGTGTCATCTGAAAGCCATCCACAATTATTTTTCCCCCAATGAAAATTGAGGCAACAAACTCAAACATCACTTGTGAATGATTTTGCTTGTGTTATAGTACACGTTTTTGAAACAGATCTGATGTCTATGATGACAGAATGATGTACAATATCACTTTGATCACAAGGTAAATCAAATATCTGTCACTTCTGGATTCCCACTGTTTGTGATATTTTCTCTTGACAAAATGCTACTTATTTACCAGATTCAGGTTCCCCGGTAGAGCACTCTTTTTTTTCTGGAGATATCCTACTTTTGGTCGGTGAGTCTTCAAAAAGCTTCGTCTTCACCTTCCTTTTGGATTTGGACACGACTTTGATGTTGGAAGATTCTGCGCAAGAAATACACCGAAAAACCAATCAACGTTTGAGTGTAAATTAGATACGAAGTGTTCGTAGAAGAGCAACGTAAGTGGTTGCTTTTAACTGCAAGTACAATGTCTCAAGTAATGTTACAGTAGCTATGTTCTCTTACATAAATGAGACTCACGAATGAAACCTCAGTCACTCGTACATACAACTAGCATGAATCGTCGCTGAGATAACTTTGAAGATCATCTAATAGACTGGACAGCAGAAAAGTCCAACAATGCATGTGAAGATTTGTTGTCCTAATTCCATGATTTTACATAGTATCGAGGTAAGATGATCATTCAATGGTGATTAGCATAAGCAGAAATGGAAATGTATGAATTAATTAGGAGAAATTCTATAGTGTGAATCTGAACAGACATGGATATCAAGGTCACCGAGCAACTGTCATCATGCCACCTTTAGATACCCAACCCAAGTCGTACGGCTACCACTGGTTCAGTAATGTTGTTTAAAATTAATGATCATGGAACACCTACTTACACACAAATAGTTTTATTCATTGCCTAACTATTGAAACGTATAGAGGTATTTTTGCACAAACTGACATTCAGATTGTTCTCAATTACAGCAGATATTTTTGCTGATTTGGCAAGAAATTAGTGGCGTGTTGCCAATACTTATCATGACATGTGTCTCTCTTACTTCATCATTTTCTTATGTCAGTATATGATTTATTTTGCAGATTCATTTCTAGATCATGAGAAGGATTCTGATGCTTTGTACGAACGAAACTGTTGTTGATTCATTTCCAGATCAGAGTTTTAAGGAATGCTACCAGTAGCTGGTGAAAACACTAGTTGGTTTCTCTTGAATAACTGATTAGAAAGCTCTCGGACCTGCTACTTTCAGCCTATCATCTCCCAAGTTTTAACCTTGAAGTTTAACCGAAAACTTAATGGATCCATTGTGTACTTTTAAATACTTTTTTGATAATTCATCAATAGTGAAATGATAAATCGATGAAAATTGAAACACTTGGTTCATACGTCTGATAATGTCGTCTATCCAGATGGAACACAATACATTGCAAGATAAAATTTCAGTTTGTATCATCTTTGAGTCAATACTGTTTTGAAGTTAGCAAGAATCACAAGGTCAAGTGATTTAACACGCGCAGAGAGATTACTCACTAGAATTCGGCTTAAGAGATGCACTGACCATGCTACGCGCACTCCAGGCATGTGGCAGTCAAATAAGAGTCAAGTAAAAGGAGAGTCGCTACGCATCTTGTTAGGATTGCAGTCAAATAAGATTCAAGTACAAGGAGAGTCGCTACGCATCTTGTTAGCATTGCATTCCTAGCAGGTTGTGTGCTGTATCATAAACTTGTTACTATATTCCTCACGCTTCAAGCCCTCTCCGATTCGAGAAGAGCAGAATGAGGCGATGATCGTCAGGCGATGAGTTGTTCAAGTCTTGTTTCCAATGCGAGAACTGAATAAATTACAACTTAAGCAGGTTGACACATGCTTTCAATTCTCATGTTACCATTTGTTTAAGAGAAATGAAAACTCCACATGAAGCAACATCGTTCTTTTGTGTGGATTATAGTTAGAGATGAAGTCTTGTTGACAATGAATGCAACTCATTGATTGAATAAAACAAAGATTAGATTTTGTGTTTGTTTGATATAAATGAAGCTATTTCAGACTTGTGACTCTACGATTCAGTGAAGTCTATATTTCAATGAATTAACTATATGCTAGCTAATAACCTGGTCAGAAAACCTTTGAGATTCTAGAATACTTTTATACTTGGATATAGAGATATTTGTTTCTTCCCACCATATAATACATATGGAAGAGTAGATATCAGATGAGATAAGATTAGATAGATTAGATTATTAAGATAAGTCAAGCAGAAGGAATCAGAATGAAAGATCTAAGACTCTATGTACCTCAAAAACATTCAAGTTTCAATCGAACACTGAATTATGTAAGTTATCACCAAGACTCAACTCGAGACTTCTCTTAATACAAATCTACAATTATCACAAAACATGTGGAATCCACTCTAATGTACAACAAGAAGATGAGTCTCAAGTCAAACTGGAATATGGTTGTTCCAACCTGCGCTCAACCGTCGGTGATTCATCGTGTTCATCTTGGATGTGTTTATGCTTGTTACGAGCTCAACGGTGACGAACTCATGAGACTGTTACGCTTTTGGGCCAGAATTTGATCTTTGAAGAGCTTGTAGCGACTGGTAAGTTTGCAGTGGGTATGAACCTACAAGAGCAATATGAAAACAGCAAAGTTGAGAAGGAAGATCAACCGGAAGAGTGTTAAAATTCTGGCATAGATCTTTGTAAAGCAGTTTCAGCCTTTTACTCATGAGAGATAATGGTAAGTTTGCAGTGGGGATGAACCTACAAGAGCAATATGAAAACATCAAAGTTGAGAAGGAAGATCAACCGGAAGAGTGTTAAAATTCTGGCATAGATCTTTGTAAAGCAGTTTCATCCTTTTAGTCATGAGAGATAATGACTGAGTGGATAGATTAACATTAGTTCTGAACTAAGACCAATATGATGAACACAACTCCAAGGAGAAGATTTACACTGAGATCCAAGACTCCACAAAAGATACATCTTATATAGTTTCATAACCTTCACTTTGGGCGATGGCGGAATGGCCGAGGACGAGGTGGACATTGGTTTCAGCTGTGTACGTTAGGACGTTAAGTGGATATAACGTCCAAAGTTGAGGCCAATGTGATCAACAAGTCGAATTCGCAGGTGAAGATCGTGACTAAGCAATCTAAAGCTCGCACAAATATCTGTAGTTCATGTTACAACATGGCGGGGTTGGATGATCGAGGTACCAAGATGACATAACGCCTCAACTGAGATCAATATGAAGAACACAACAAATTCCAATGAGGCTACATAACTCTGAAATCTACACGTGTATTGCATGTACAGTTCTTATGACACTTTCGTCTTTCCGGGCGGGTGGGAGTGGCAAAGTTGCCAAGTTGACATAGACTAGTTTCATGATACAAGCCGCTGAGAAATCCAGTGATGGCCAGCATCTATTCCTGCTGTACTGAATCAATCCACTTGTATATACTTAATCAATTTAACCGTCCCGCGGATCGCGGATCGTGGCAAGAAGATGATAGTACCTCGTAAAACTATGTGTGTTCTCAGCCACCAAATTTTTGTTTGATTCTTGCTATTACAGGGTAGTATTTATTTGAGTCCTACTAAACTAAGCACAAGGTTTTAGGTGCTCTATCGTCCGGCTGCTGTATTAGCTGATATCCAACATCTATTCTAGATATCCACAACACATAGCTGACATCCACACCTGATGTAAATGTGAAGAATAGAATATTGTGAAGCAGAAGATTTCTTTCAAACATATCTCCCTACAACAGCTACTACTCTATCATGGTTGACATGTAGCAGTACAAAGGACTTACAGTACAAAGTACTCTGGTGTTGACTGGAAAAGTACTTACAGTAAATTTGGCAATGAAATTTGGTTTCCTGTGTTTTTCAGTAACTCCCAATCTATATATTGGTAGAAAGAGTTAGCCACTTGTAAATCTATTGTTGTTAAATAGAATTATAAATAGTGGACAACTGGGCATCTTGCCTATCCGGACAAGACCTTTGTCAGAGCCTAAAGCCTAGATTGCAGTTCTGGAAACTGGAATGTTCATATCTCTAAGTTTTATTTTCAAGCTTGGTCGAAAATGCAAGGTGTCAAGATGTCTAGACTTTTGGATATGTAATCTGCTCTATTGATATTCTCGTTTGAAGCGTGCAGATACGGGTGATGGATCAAATTGACATATAGCCCATATCTACTTTCAATACGTAGTAAACAATGACAAAATCGAAGGAGAAAATCCTTCTAAGGATATTTCCATCTTTTTCGAACAATTCATCACTCTATGGTGATGATCCTACACTAGGCCGTACAAGAAGGTAAATTGACATAACGTCCACTCTTGACATACCTGGAAGTAACAACAAGCATCAAGAAAGATACCTAAAGATAGGTATCCAAGACTCCTATATAATTGTATTTCAGCTTACACTATCCTCACACACACATTATTTTGAAACTGAGAAATCTTTCGAAACTCTTTCTTTCGAACTCTTTTACCCTTCAAGTAGAAAAAACTTTTTACTAATTTTCAACCAATTCAAGCGAATAACCTCTTGATGCATAAAAAGATATATACTCAATCATTATTGTTCAAACTTTAAGTCACATGATCTAATTCAATGTACATATAATAGCTTCTTTCAATTTTAAAATTGCTAACAGTATAAATAAGAAAAAAAATTTTACATAGAGAATTTTGAAATTGTTGATTCTCTTCATAAAGTAAAAATAAAATCTTAAAGCTTGCTTCCCATCATTACATTAAAAAATTTTGTGCTCTTCAAAATATCCATAATGTAAATGAATAAAGATTAAATCTTGAATCTGTTCAAAAAATCTTGAAAGATTGAGCACACAAGTATGTGAGGTATGCAATCGAATTGATCAACTATTTTCATATGCTTACAGAATCGGTCATGATGAATCTAGAAGTGATGTTTGGAATTTAATAGAACCTTTCAATTAGAGCATGCTATTCATTATCACAAGTACTAGCATCAAGATTTGAAGGTAAGATTCAATATATATTGAATAAAAATTTGCAAGAATGGTATGAAAATATTAAATTCATTTAAAATTTAATGAAATTTTGTGATAATTGTGAATGTTATAATTTTGGAAAAATGTATCACACTTCCATATTCTATCAAATTCAAAGAAGATCACAAGGAGCATGTGAGCCTAAACTTCCCCACCCGTCAGCGTTTGTAGTCCAGGTGGGGGTTCGAGCTCCCATAATCTAACTTCTCTGATTTCGACCATGTGGTCAAAGTGTATTCAAGACAATGAGATCATAAACATTTGCTCTTTCACAGACAAATTATCTAGAACTGAAAATAATAACTTGCTGTCTGCTATCTCCACAAGAGCAGCAGACAAGCTCTTTGTTACATAAAGATCTAACCCAACTCTGGATGACTTTCTCAGTACCCCAGCCGCTGTGGTCTATCCTAGCTCCGAGTTCCACTACCAATTCCTACTCAGATTTCAGTGTCGATTTCTCAGCTTCCACCTTCAGACTCCATCAGATTCCTCTCTCAGATTCAACTCTCCCTTTTCAGTTTCAATTTCAAATCCCGACTGTCAGATTTCAGTCTCAGATTTTGCTTCACTCTCAGCTCCCCTTCTCAGGTCTTCCACTCTGATCTCAGCTCCCACTCACAGATTACACTTCAATCTCAGATCCCAATCTCAGATTTTCCACTCACGGATTTCACTTCAATCTCGGATCCCACTCACAGATTACACTTCAATCTCGGATCCCACTCACAGATTACACTTCAATCTCAGATCCCACTCTCGGATCTTACACTTCAATTTCAGATCTCACTCTCAGATCTTCCACTCGGATTTCAGCTCACAGATTACACTTCAATCTCGAATCCCACTCACAGATGTCGCACCTCAATCTCAGATTCCAATCTAATTTCACTCCACGATACAACTCACCACCCACGAGAGGTTGCTTTCTCCTACTTCGAACACTCCACACTCCCCTCCTAATCCTCACCACTTCCCTGCGAAAATCACTCACGTCCACACTCTATCCTCCTACCGATCCCACCAGCGTCTCCACACAATGACACACCACACGATCTCTATCCCCATGCCGAAAATTCCTCTCCAACGTTCAAGGGCCGAGTCACCCACAGCCCGCGATGATGAGCAACGGCCTGGCTCCCATGTGCAACTTCATGCCCCACGCTGCCACACCAGTACAGTCTTTATTTATGATCACGTCAACATCCGCCGTCCAAAATTGTCTTCCGCGCACCGCCGAAGGCATCCCCCCGCCGAAGACACTCTTCTACACCTTTGCCTATCTATAACAATCACCCCGACGCCCATAACTCACGGATCCCTGCTTCGTTTGCAACGTTCTTGGGCTCGTTGAAACAAGCGTGTTGTTCTCTTTCCAACGAGCCCCTAACTAAGTTAAACCAATAAGAATTGAGAAAGTTATGACGGTTTTTACTCTTCCGCCGAAGGCGTTCGCCTATCCGCAGGCGTCCGCGTCCTACCCGCAGGCCGCCTATCCACAGGCGGCCTGTGAAATATATCCTGTGGATAGGCGGACGCCTATCCACAGGCCGTCCGCCTGTGAAAAGGCCGTCCGCCTATCCACAGGCGTCCTTGGGCCAAAGGCCCCTCTATATGTTAAAGCCGAAGGCCCCTCTAACTGTTAACGCCGAATGCCTCACGCCTAACCATGACAGCCGCTTTCGACGCTCATAACTCATTGATGACTGATCCGTTTCAAGAGATCTTGGTCTCGTTGGAACCAGCTGGTCGAGTTCTTTCCAACGAGACCCGAATCAAGTCAAACCGCTAAGAATTGAAAAAGATATGCCGGTTTTACTGCTTCGCCGAAGGCCTGCAACCGCCGAAGGCGTCCGTCCGCGCATCGGACAAAAGTTGATCTCCCTTCCGCGTAGGCGGAATTCCCGCCGGAGGCGAACTCATTACGCCGAAGGCGAACGTCTATCTATCTTCCGATAGTCATAACTCCCTAAGTCCTCATCCGTTCCAAGCGTTCTTGGGCTCGTTAGAACGAGCGTGTCGAGCTCTTTCCAACGAGATTCTAACCAACGCAAACCGTTAAGAATTGAAAACGTTATGTCAATTTTACCCTTTCGCCAAAGGCGTTTGCCTATGCATAGGCCACCTGCGCACAGGCCGCGAACGCGCAACCCGCCTACGCGTAGGCCACCGAAGGCCTTCCATATCAAAAACGTCCGCCGCTCCTAACTTGGTGCTGCCTTATCCGTTTCAAGAGTTCTTGGTCTCGTTGGAACGAGCGTCGCGAGCTCTTTCCAACAAGTTTTTAACGGAGTCAAGGCGTCACACATTGAAAACGTTATGAGAGTTTCACTCCTTCGCCAAAGGCCTTTTCCCGAAGGGACTTCATCGAAGGCACTTCGCCAAAGACCTTGCCCCGAAGGCCTCCTTCCGCACCTCTTGCCCCCTAACCATCACACCAACTCCTAATCTTACAGAAACTTTCAGAAAACCCCAAGCATAATTTTGCATGAGCTTAAACCAAACTTTTAACTCTCATAAGGGTAAAAAGACATATGAGCACAGTTTGTGCTCACAGAGCACGTATAATGCAATGAGGATCTATTCAAAACATGAAGATTGTAGAGTATTTTGACTTCTAAGCTGATTCTCACTAGTTTTATCTCAGAAATCTTTTCGGTAGCTCATCATGGTTGTAAAAACTAGTATATTCCAATATGCTTGTGTCCCAAACATTCTTTCATGTAAACTTTTCACTCATGACTTAATTGCAAATATCCATTGATACTCAAAATGATAGTGAAATTCAAACTCATATCAATGAAACAAATTATTCCACAATGAACTTTCAAAATTTGCTTGGGAATTTTTTCTCTAACTCTTTATATATATTACTTGAAAAATTACTATAA